CCCCTAATATTTATGGATGTCAATGAGGCAGTTTGAGCTGTTGTTGGAGGACTTGTAACAACTTCTGAGGATGCAGAGAGCCAGTTGACCCAGAGCAGCAACTAGCAGTGTGTCTGAGGTAAACCAGTATTATCTTACCAATTCCAGATCACTCGCATTTTAACTTACAAGCTCACTGGTTGCCAGATGCAGTGGCCTGATTGGTCAGATCTGTTTATCTGGAACTGAAAAACTAAATTTGATTCATAAATTCATCCTGCGATAACATGTTTGGTGTGCATTAAAAACAGGTGAGTCCAAAAAATATTTTGAAAGGACAAAGAAACACAACCCTTCAGCTCTTGATCTGTGACCTCAGTGAACACTTTCCCAAAGGGTCTGTGGTTTCAGTCACTAGTTTCAAGTCTCATTAACATAACATTAAAAAAAGACTACAAAGCAGGGCTTTGCTATGTTTTGGAATGGAAAGTTTCTGGTGATGGTGTTATAAAAACTGATCAGAGCAACTTCAAGACAGATTAACAGTCGTACCGTGCACTGACAGACTGACACACACAAACACACACCTGCAGATGGCATCGATGTCCTGTGTGCTCTGCTCTTTTTGTGTGTCCACTAAACTGTCCCCGAGTGTGAGTAAACACTGAGCAAAGCGCTTGTAGATGGAACCACATGAAACAGGGATTGCGGCGCTGAGACACACGGGGACCAAGCCTGCTGGAGAGGGAAAGACAAGACACAAATATTTGAACACTACAAAAAGATCATTTTATCTAAAGAAGGTCGATGCTCTTTCTCACAGTTGAGCACTAAAGACATATAAAACACTCCTTTTTTCAGTGCAGAAGAAATGAATGCATACATGAGGAGACTGTGAATACAGTGTTACTAAACTAAAAGGTTATGATGGGAGAAAAATAAAACCACTAGATTGTTGAGGATTTGAATACAATGTTTGTATGCTCATAGTTGTGATCCATCAGGTTCTTAGATGGATCAAACAGATACAGAAATATGTTGTATTCCATTCATCTGGAGGGATTATACACCCTCAGAGCCAAATTCCATGTAGCACTATAAAGCCATGTATAAGCTGTATGGTTGCTTCGGTCAGTCCACATATAACATGTCATATAAAACATGTCCTTATGTAGTTTGAGTTTTCACTGAAACCTTCCTGAAAAGCTGAGACACAAGGTCTGACTGGAGCACTGATTTGGGAGTAAATCTGTACTGCAAGATCGCTTTCAGTTTGTCGTTGGCCTCGAACACATTCGTTTGCCAGCAGACCTGATGAGCTGTTCCAGGGTCAGCCCTAAAACCATAAACATCAATCTGATGCTAAACCAGCCTTCATTTTTCTGGCTCCAGGCTTTCCACAGAAATTTGGATGCTCTCTTTCTAATGTACTGCATGTGACTGAGTGCAGTTTGTCTAATTTCTGCCTTTGTGGTTCAGAACTACTGTTGGCTCTGGACAAGCTGCTTACACAGGGTCTAAAGAACACTGATCATATTTTATATATCACTGAATATTGAATTAAAGAACAGAGCTTAAACAGCAATCCCAAAGGAGATCTGGCTGTCTGTATACATTTGACCAGAGGATATAAAACAAGAGTTAAATATGCATTGCAAAAACAAACCGCTTGTCTAAAAAATTAGCTCAGAAATTGGTGACATCTCAGACATTTTTGCCTTTTGTCCACACGCCACTTGGAACTTTTGTGATTCAATCAGTCTAAGACGACCTTGTTTCTGCCTAATGCCAGTGCACGTTATTAGCTGCATCATTAAAGCCCTGATGTTTTGCTTTTGCTTCTCTGTGTTCTTTCTTTGCAGATGTTTTTTAATAGCTGTCTCTGCAAAAATGTAATGAATTCCTGTTGCGAAATTTCCATGTAACTTGGTAGATTTTTCCACAAATGAGCTTCATTCATAAAATGCGGTTGCACTCCTCACCACCACTGGCAGTCACAGCTGATTGCATTATGTTTCCAGGTTGTTGGAAAGTGTTCTCATGAGCACAATGTCTCCAGGGATTTTCTTCGTGTTTTCCACAAATGTTCAGTTGAACTCGAGGATGAACTGATTACATTTCTGCACTCAAAGGTCAAAGACATTGTGATCTCAATAAATATGTTGCTTTGTCATAACTCAGTAGCTCCGATTAAGACAGAATTTTACACAAATGACAAATGGAGATAAAATGATGATGTTGTGACTTTTATATGCAGAAGGATAAAGGTCGTGTTCACTGCAATGCCTTAATTTTCTGCAGAAACATCCTTCTGGCAATTATTCAAGGGCATTATGTAGCTATGTTAAAAAGTCAACCCCAAAAACCTTTATAATGTTAGGACAGCCTAGGTGGAAGCAGAATTCGCATTATTTACTATTAATAAAAACATTATATAAAGATAATAACATAAAATATAAAATAATATATAATAAATATATTTAATATAACTTATACAATAATAAATATTACCACAAGCATCTTACAGGGTGCCTGAGCTTCTTCTGAAACTGATTATTTTCTTCTGCATCAACTTATTTACCCTTTTTTAAAACTTTGTGAGAAATCCAGCCACAGATACTCTGAACAAATATAAAAGTAGCAAAAAAATTGAGCACAAAATGAAAAAGTGGTTAATCAGTAAATCATTTTGGCTGTACCTTTATGAACTTCTGAGTAGTTTGATTTGTGATTTTAAAAAAAACCCAACATATTTTGTGTGTTCTTTATGTTATATATGCTCAAATCTACATAATTCAAATACTGAATAACATTAATACTAATATAATAAATGTAGCAAAGTAAAAAACACAATATATTCTTCAGTCTGCTCTGAAGACTATTTATTTAACCTTGACTCGAAACTCACATGGTTTCCTGATTCTGTAAGATTCTGTAACTGAAGAGTGTAATTGATATCCTGCATTGCACTGGTATCTATTTTATTCTATTTTATTGTTTCCTTTTTTTTAATCAATGTGTGCTTGGAAAAAAGATTTTAATCTGAAAGATATTACAGTAAAGTAAAGGTTAGATAAAATTTAATATGTGTTGTAGCAGAAATATAACGTGGTATGAAAAGAAGGCTCCAATTTGTCCTCAGCTAAATCTACTTAGTTTCCTTCCATTGGTGTTCACACTCAAATACACAATGTTGTACACCTTTCTGCATGCACACACACACACACAAACACACAAACAGCCTGGGGAGCATTTCATTAAGGTAAGCGCATTTGTAAAGCCTTTCTCATTAATATCAGAACAAGCTGAAGGGAACATCCATTATAAGCCATCTGAACTTCTCTGGACCTTTTCTGACAAATCTGAAAGAGCAAAAAAAATTGTATATCCGTATACAGATGCAGGACAAAATTGGGGCAGTGAAGAGCACACTCAACACTTACAAAGTTTTCCCACAAGACTGGATTGCACACAAACACATACAACACGGTCACACTACAACTGGAGAGTACGGCAAGTTCCTTACTGAGGCAGAGGGCGATGGGCAGCAGCACCGTCGAGCTACCTGGATGGGACTTCATTGTTTGGCTCAGAAGTCCCGTGGAGCCGAGTACCACCCCCGAGCAAGAGGCTCTGATGTGAAGCTCCCACTTGACGTAAATCCAAAAAGTGCAAAATTTCTGGCCTAAAATGTGATTTTTCCGACCGTCCGTGGGGAATTTATCAGATGGCAAAAGTGCAGCAATGCACGGAGGCACAACCCAGCTGGATTAACAGTGAAAGGGACCAATGCATCACAGAGAGTAAGAGGATGTTGTGCCTGTGTGTATGTGTATGTGTGTGTGTGCACTGGGAAGGCTTGGAGCAACAGACCAATGAGAGCATCACATCATAGCACAGTGGATTAGAGTGTTCTCATTTCCGGTTTTCAGTATTTGGAACACTTGTTTGAAACCCAGATATATGATCTTATAATGATTTTGCTGTTCACACTTGTGTGACACCTACCTGTTGCAAAAAATCTGTTTTAACCATTGAACAGAGTTTGTAAGTGAACAGTGAAACAAACCATTATTAAAGGTGTCAGGAGGCAGGAGGATTTTTTTGTGCACAGATGGATGACATCCCAGTGAGGATAACACAGTCAGGCTCACCTGGGAGTCCAATGTGGTTCCACAGCGCCTTCTGGGAATAGCCTCAGTCCACGAGAGAATTCATCCGCTTTTTGGGTTATGACAATAAGAGACGAAGACAGAACTGTTAAACTGTTGAAAATGGGTGATTGTGATCTTTACTCCTTGACTTCCTTGCGATTCCATCTTACATCCCCCTCCTCACCCTCCCAGATGGCTCACACTCTGTGCATTAGTATAAGTCCTGGTTGACATCTGCATACCGACACAGGAGGAATAGGAACCCATTGTTAATCTGCGGCTTAGAACAACCATCGACTGCAGAGTAATCTGTCTGTGTCCCAAGCTGCTGCCCTGAATCGATACATCACTGGAGCTACTTTGGCAAAAAGTCTTCCTGGAAACATCTGCATTAGCTCATCAAATTCATCTCTTTGCAATGCCATATTGCAGATGTGTAACATTTACGGTGCCATGAAAAAGATGTCATTCACATCTATCAGTTGGGAAAGGTTTCAAAGTCATTTCTGAGGCTTTGGGACTCCAGAGCCATTATCTACAAATGGAGAAAACTTCAAACTGTGATAAACCTTCCCAGGAGGGGCCACTGTTACCAAAGAAGCGCTTCAATAACTCTTCCAAAAAGTCTCGAAAGAACCCACATTTGCCCAAAAACATCTTTGTGATCCCCAAGATTTTTGGGAAAACATTCTTTGCACTGACGAGACAAAAGTTTGCCTTTTTGGAAGGTTTGAGTTACTGTTACATGTGGCATAAAACTAACACAGCATTTCTTAAAAAGAAAATCGTACCAAGTCAAACATGGTGGTGGTCAAAAGTTAGTCTGGGCCTGCTTTGCTGCTTCAGGACCTGGGCGAAAGAAGAAGAATGTCCGGCCATCAGTTCATGTTCTAAAGCTTGAGCGTGCTGTATATAATCAGGTTATATCTGAAACATGCAAGTGTGACAAGAATGAAATAAATAAAGAAATCATGAAGAGGGCAGATACTTTTTCACTGCACTGTAAACTGGGTGAACTTATCTAGACTTTTTTGCTATTCTAAAAAAAAAGAAATTCCATTGTTTATATATAGCCAAACAATGGATGTATTCACAGTAACATCACCCACTGGTTAGTGAAGTACAATTGTGAATCCTTAAGTTGAGGACTTTTGCTGTCCTGGTGTTGTCAAACTGGAAATTATGGGGGGGGGAGGATCTCACACCTTCCTTCAACCTCCTTTTTGGCTCTAACCGGGACAGCAGATTTAAAAGTAAACATAATGCCATTTTATGTAAGATGCAAAACTAGCAACTGAAAACGTGAAGTTAGGAAAGAGGCTCACAGATTAAAGGATCTGAAGGACTGTTTTACCCCTAAAATTGTATTCAGTCTTATTTTTTTGTAAGCACAGGAGTCGCCCTCTGTTGGCCAAAGACTGCATGCTTTGAAGAACTTTGGCTTCATTTTTGAGATTTGGAAGTGATGTCCATGTTTCACATGCTTTGTGATTGTCCAAATCAAGGACTTTATATTATTCAGTCTTCAGGGTTTCTATAGGCAGGACCAATCAAATAAGACTTAACTTAAATTATT